CCCATCCCCAGCAGTGCCTCTGCCCCTGCTGGGTCCAGAGGCTTCAGCCCTCACCCCACTGTCCCTCAGGTGGCTTCTGCAGAGTGGTGGCCCAGAGCTGGTGCCATGATGGAGACTGGGGCAGGCAGGGAGGGCTTCCCTGAGGTGGTGGTGCTCGGGTTAGCGCTGAAGTGTGGGCAGGAGTTGCCAGGAGTGGGGAGAGACCATGGCTCAGGGCCCGGAAAGCTGGTGACGCCCCTTTGGAGCCTCGTCTTTCCTGGAGCCCTTGTGTTTGATTTCTCACTGCTGGAGTGTGAACTCCAAGGGCAGCAGTTGCCCTGTCCCCACAGTGGTCCCCTCACGGGCCCCACCTCAAACTGTCACAGGCTGGGCTGCAGGGTCCCCAGAGGCCCCCATTGCAGTCTGGGAGAGCCTTGTGCATTGGAAGTGGGTGAATTATGATGTGAGAAGCGTGGGGTGCAGGGAACCGGGGTTTCCTTTAGAGTGCCTGCCCCATCTGTACTGTAGAGCCGTGTTTTACAGCTGTTGGACCCGCTCTGAAAGGAAACGGAGGCTCCTGGAGGTGGAGCAGCCTCTTCCAGCCACTCTGCAGCCTCCCAAGTTGGCAAAACGTAGGCCTCAGGTCATAGGCCGCCCCCAGAGTGGGTTGCGAGGATCGGGGGCAGCTGTGTGGGGTGGTGGCTGGCATGCCAGGCCGGGGCTGCCTGAGTGAGCCTGGGGGTCTGTGAGACTGTGGTGTCGCTGGGGCAGGCAGGCTTTTGCAGAACTCTGAGTGGGCTGTGTGTGTGCAGCGTGAGAAAACGAGGTGACGGCAGATACAGCCTATAAACTAGGGCTCAGGGGCGGTTTTATTTCTGTTTTTTTTGTGTGTGGTAAAATGCATAAGATAAAATTTGCCGTTTTAACCATTTTTAAATGTACACTCCAGAAGCGCCGTTATTTCCAAAACTTGTTCATCCCGCCGACAGAAACTCCGCACCCATGAAGTCATAACAGCCCATTCCGCAGTCCGCGGAGCCTCGCTGAGCCTCTGTCTCTGTGAACGGGCCGGTTCCAGGTGCTGTGTAGAAGTGGAGTCACTCGGTGTCCTTGTCCGTCTGGCCCGTCTCCCACAGCATCGTGTTTTTATCCACACTGCAGCGCGTATCCAAATGTCATTCCTTTTCGTGGCTAGATACTATTCCATTGCATGGACAGAGCACATTTTGTTTACACATTCACTTGTCAGGGTTTTTAAAAATATAAATAGGCTGGGTGTGGTGGCTCATGCCTGTAATCCCAACACTTCGGGAGGCTGAGAAGGGTGGATCACGAGGTCAGGAGTTCAAGACCAGCCTGACCAACCAACATGGTGAAACTCCGTCTCCACTAAAAATACAAAAATTAGTGGGACATGGTGGTGGGTGCCTGTAATCCTAGTTACTCAGGAAGCTGAGGCAGGAGAATCGTTTGAACCAGGGAGGAGGAGGTTGCAGTGAGCCAAGATCGCACCATTACACCGTAGCCTGGGCAACAGGGCGAATCTCCGTCTCAAAAAAAAAAAAAAAATTTAAATAATGGGGCTGGGTGCCGTGGTTCACACCTGTAATTCCAGCACTTTTAGTGGGCAAGGCAGATGGATCACGAGGTCAAGAGATCAAGACCCTCCTGGCCAACATAGTGAAACCCTGCCTTAACTAAAAATAATACAAAAATTAGCCGGGCATGATGGCACACACCTGTAGTCCCAGCTACTCAGAAGGCTGAGGCAGGAGAATCACTTGAACCCAGAAGGTGGAGGTTGCAGTGAGCCGAGATCACGCCACTGCACTCCAGCCTGGCAACAGAGACTCTGTCTCAAAATATATATATGTACGTATATTATATACACACATATGTACTATATATACACACAGGCCCATATGCATAAGTATATACTATATATGTATATACAGTATATATGCTCATATACTATATACGTGTGTGTATACGTGTGTGTGTGTATATATACATACACATATACCTATAATGGGTTGTTGCAGTGGCTCATGCTTGTCATCCTAGCACTTTGAGAAGTCAAAGTGGGAGGATGGCTTGAGCCTTGGGATTTCGAGACCAGCCTGAGCAACATAGTGAGGGCTCACTTCTACATAAAAATCCTTAAAAATGAGCGGAGCATCCTGGTGCGTGCTGGTGAGGAGGATCGCTTCAGCGCAGGAGGCAACAGTTAGTTGCAGTGAGCCCTAATGGCCCCGCTGCACTCCAGCCTGGGCAACAGAGCGAGACCCTGTCTAAAAAAAAAAAAAAAAGTAAACCACGTAAGTCAGTCCGCCATATTTTAAAACCTGTTTATGTAATGGTACAGATTTCCAGTTTCTTCTAACAGCTTGAAACATGTGGCCATGCAAGGTCCAAGCACCTGGTGCCTTATGGGTCTCACACATCCAACTACCTCCCTGGTGAGTCGGGGTTCCCTGGAGCTAGGGGCTGTTGATCCCCAGCCAGGCAACTAGGGGCACAGCCCCGAGGCAGAGGTGTTGGTAGCTGAAGAGTCGGGGCCCCTAGGCCGGGCATCTGACCTGGTGGAGGCTCCAGGTGCCCCCCAAAGCAGCACGTGAGTCTCAGCTCACACCTGGGGAGGGCAAGTCCATCTTGGGAAAACCTGATGGGGAGGCGGGCGATGGAATGATGGGATGTCACCTCTGGCTCGGTGCAGGGCGTGGCTCTGCAGCCAGCCTTGGGCCTGGTGCCTGTGATGAATGCAGTGACCAGGCACTGTGCTGTGTGCCAGGCACGATGCCCACTGAGGAGCCATCCCTCCTTCCAGAGGAGGAATCCAAAGCCCTCCCAGGTCAAGCAAGTGGACTGTGAGGCTGGTGTCGGTACATGAGGTCACACCTGCAAGGTGGGTGAAGGATGGGACCCTCAAAGCTTATGGGAACAGGGGCGACCAGCCAGTATGGATGTCATCCCTGTCCCCAGTGGAGGCTCCTGGACCTCAGATGCTGGGGGTTCTCCAGTGACAGGGTCTGTGCTGGTGGGACGGGTGGCTCTCACAACCACTCTGGGCCAGGCAGCGGGCTGGGGTTGGAGGCGTGAGTGCCTTCTTCCTATAGACAGTGGAGAAAGGTGCTAGCCTGAAGTGTCAGCGTGGAACCAGGCCTTGAGGGCTGGCCGACATCTGCTCAGCTGGAAGTGTCATAGGCAAACTGCAGAGCCCTAGCACAGGATAGTGGCACGGCGCTGGGGGACTGCAGAGGTCACCGGACTGAGAGTGCCAGGGCCGTGGGACAGGGGAGTGAGGATTCTGCCTGGCTTTCACTGGCGGTGGGGTGTGGGGCGCCTGGGCGCTGGAGAACAGCCAGTGGGGGCTGCATGGGGAGCTGGTCTGGTTCCTGGGTAGAGGACGGTGGGCACCCCCATTCCCGCAGTTCACCCTCCCAGTTATTTGTGAGGCTCACTCAGTAAGGCACATCTATCCCCGCAGGTCTGGCACTTTGGTTGCAGTCGTTACTTTGTTTCCAGGCTAGCACTCAGTAGGTGCACAGTAAAGATGCTGGGTAGTGTGTTCACTCCAGACTGGGCGCGGGCAGGCGGTGGGGGTCCTGGGGACAGACAGCGCGGGCCGGGACTCCAGGGATGCAGCCAGTGAGGGTCAGCCGTGGGCGGGCTTTGAGCAGAGCCTGGAGCTGCCCTGCAGGAGGATGGAGTGGTGGAGCTAGGCTGCCCGGAGGACAGGACGCCGGGCCCAGGGGACCTGCAGCAGCCGAGGGGGAGGGGTGCACTGCGCCGCCGTAGCCTCCCATCCCCCTCTGCCCGGCCCGGCTGCTAAATAGGCAGCCTGGACCCGCCCTCGGGCAGCCGGGAGGCCAGCAATTGGTTGGGGCGCTAGAGCCGCTCGGTCGCCATGGGGACGCTCTGGAGGCGCGCGTGCCCAGTGCCCAGTGCCCAGCGCCGGGGACTAAATCTTCATAATCTGCCGGCTGGGAGGGTGGGGGTGGGGTCTGTCATGACCCTGGCCTGGGGGAAGGAGCGGCAGGGAGTGCTGTGACCGCCCCACCCCCACCCACGCTGGGTGCAGGTGCGGAGCCGACAGGGCACCTGTGCACCCCCGGGACCCTCGCGGGTGCTCACCTGACAGCGACCCCGGGAGTTCTCGTGCAGTCTCAGCTTCTGCCGTCTCAGCTGAGCAAGCAGGGGGCCGGGGCTGGGTGGGCAGAGAGGCCTGGAATGTATCTGGAACTGTCTGGTCCTCCTGGTTAAAGTTTCCTGTTTGGCGCTCGCAGGCCGGCAGTGCCGCGCTCTTCGCGGCAGGGGGCGCCCTCGTAGTGCTTTGCCGGGGCCGCTCACCCCGAGACAGCAGGCAAGCCACTCAGGGCGCCCCGTGCAGACCCCAGATCCTGCAGCCCCGGTGTGGCACGTCCCAGGCCGTGGGACCTGTACGTGGATCCGGTGACCACTGTACCTAGGCTGCCAAGGCTGAGCTGGGTTGGGCTTGCAGGCGGGAGGCGATGGCTGGAGGCCGCAACAGAGCCATCTTCCTGCCTCAGGCAGAGGAAGGAGACATTTGAGGGCCCACTGTGGAGAGGGGCTCTGAGAACATGAAGCTGCAAGGCAGTGCCCGGCAGCAGAGCAGGGTGGGTGGGAGATGTGGTCCCGGGAGCTGGGGAGAAGGGAGAGCCCGGCTGGGCCTTACTCCCAAACCCTTGGAGCTGAATCTCCCCTGAGCCTGGACATAGCACTTGTGAGCTCAGAGTGCAGGGAGACCCGCCCTGCCCCGCACAGCCCTGCCTGGCCCCTCCGCTCCTGATGGCCCCGCTATTCTGGCGGCGGGGACCCTGGGGCTGCCTCAGCTAGGGCTGTGGGCTGGGGAAGACGCCTCTCGGAGCCTCCGAGATGCGGTAGCAGCACTCACCCCCCGACCCAGGGACACTCATGAGGAAGACACAGGGTGGGATACAGGTGGCTGCTGTGGCCACAGTGCCCGGGATGGGGCCTCACACCCAGGCCTCTCATTCCAGATGACTCCTCCTCCGAGAGTGGCAGCGGCAATGGCTCCTCCACCCTGAACCCATCCACGTCGAGCAGCACGCAGGGTGACCCTGCCTTCCCCGAGATGAATGGCAACGGTGCTGTGGCCCCCATGGACTTCACCACGGCAGCTGAGGACCAGCCCATCAACCTGTGCGACAAGCTCCCACCAGCCACGGCGCTCGGCACACCCTCCTACCCCTCTGACGGCTGCGGCGCCGACGGGCTGCGGAGCCGCGTCAAATACGGGGTGAAGACCACCCCTGAGGTGTGTGGGACTGGGAGCTGAGTCCATTTCTTTCTGTTAAGGGCTGTTGTGAGGTGGGAATGAAATTGTCTATGCCCAGAGCTTAGCTGGAGCCAGCCCGTGTGTGTGACACCAAGCCAGGGTGGCAGCTGTGGCTGGTACACCGTCGGGTTCCTGGAGAGGATCTGGAATGGGAGATGGCTTGGAGTGTGCCCTCAAGCCAGGCCGCCTTCTCCGGGCCCAGTTCCCTGTGAAGTGGAGCTGATAGCCCCTGCCTTGGTTGAGGTGGTAGATGGATATGCATCCCCACAACCTGGCCCCCTCCCCCAGAACAGCATCTGCTGTGGGCAACAGCAAGTGGCCACTTTCGGCACAGTGAGGTACAAGGCCTCCCACTGCCTGCCTGTCCCCATTTTATAGGTCATACAAAAAAAGGGCGAGGGCCCAGGGATGTGGGCAGCGGAACTCCTCCTTTGACCAGACTGATGGAAGGTGGGAAGGATGAGCAGGGCAGCTGCCCTCACCAGTGGGCACCCCCTGCTTCCTGGGGCCCTCCCTCATGCTTCCACAAGCTGCCTCCTGGCCGCTAAGGTTTCCTGCAGTAGCGCCTCTTCTCCAACTTGCTCCCAGGGGCAGAGGCACCTTCCTGGAGCTCACACCCCGGGACAGGCTCTTCTCCCTCCCTGGGCCTGTTTCCTCTGCTGCAGGGAGGGTGGAGTAGTTTCTAGCTAGTTGCCTGCCTCAGTTGGTGCGTCTCGTAGGGAAGTTCTATACCGTGGGCTCAGTGTTGAGTTGTTGCTGTGTGTGTAGCACAGGTGGCTGGGAGCAGGTTCTGGCCAGAGCAGGTTTTGCCTGGGTCCAAGGGGTAGGCATGGCTGCTCTCCCACAGAGGGGAGAGTTTTGCTGAGCCGTCATTGCCACGGTGGCCACAGGGTACATGGCGGGGTGGGGGGGACGTGAGGAAGTGAGATGGGAGCAGGAAGGCCACCAGCAGCTCCCATCTTAGTTTCCTCCGTCTGCCTGCCCTGGGAATCCTGCCACTTTCCAAGTCTGTATGTGGACTAAGAGACAGGCATCAGGCCAGCGACCCTAGGGGACTGATCCCTGTGGGTTTGGTTACTGGGAGAGAGGTCTGGTTGGGGGGGGTGCTATACTGTGGGGCCAGGTGCCAGGCGGTACACAGCTTCCTGGATTTGCTCCTCAGATAGTGCTATTCCCCTCACGGCTGTGCCACCGCCACGCTGCCACATCATGGGGTCTGACCGCAGCCACCTGCTGTCTGAGCCTGCCTTACCTGCTAGATGGCAACCTCCCTGAGGGCAGGAACAGTGTCCCCAGGTTATTGCCAGTCAGGATCTGAATGAGTAATTAGGACATATCGAAAGCACAAACTTCCCAAAAGTCAACCGTGGTCCTCAGCTGTCCCGGGGCAGGAGACAGGTGATATGGGAGCTGAACCATGAAGGATGAGATGGCGGAGGCCTGGAGGAGAGGACAGAGCTGCCTCCAGGGAGAGATGGGTGAGGGGCTTGTCCAGGGAGGAGCTTGTGGTAGGAGCAGAGGGCCAGAGCCCTTCTCTACTGGAGGACAGGTGACTGCTGGGGCAGGCTAGGTCTGGTTCCCTTTCCCCGTTCTACCCACATATTCTCAGTGGGCCACTGTGCTGTCCTGGTGCGGGGGGACAGGAGAAGCCCAGCCCGGAAGCTGCAGGAACACATCCTGCCTAATGGACCTGTCGCCTTGGCTGGCCGCCCCGCCCAGCCATGTTCCTCCTCCCAACAGACAGCATGCTTACTGCTTTGGTGACAGCTTGGTTGTCAACTTGGGGTTCCAGCCCCTTGGGGATCAGGGAGGAGAACCCCAAAGGCAAAACATATCTTGGCACAAGAGGAGGCCGGCAGGAGGTGCGAGCCCTTTCCATGTCTGCCCTTCCCTTGCGCACGTGGCAGGTCCCGGTGTGGGCCACTGCTGAGGTGACACCCTCTTAAGCGTTTGGCACCCCCCAGGAGCCTGGTCTCTGCATACCTACTGTTGCAGTCAGTCCTCCCTGCTGCAGCCCAGGGAGGGAGGTGGCAGCATTGCTGTCCCCATTCCACAGATGAAGTGGGCAGAAAAGAGCTGTGACTTGCTCCGGGCCTTGCAGCTGTGGCTGTCGGGCAGCGAGGTGTACGTGCTGCCCTGGTCCCCAAGCTCCCTGCCTATGGGAGACCCAGCAAGGGCATGAGCAGCCGCCTGGCCCAACCCTCTGCCTCTTGCCCTCTTTTTAGTCCCCCCCTTACAGCTCTGGGAGCTACGATTCCATCAAGACCGAGGTCAGCGGCTGCCCCGAGGACCTGACAGTGGGCCGGGCTCCCACAGCAGATGACGACGATGATGACCATGATGACCATGAGGACAATGACAAGATGAACGACTCCGAAGGCATGGACCCTGAGCGCCTTAAGGCCTTCAACGTGAGCACCGGCTGGAAACGTGGGGTGGGGTAGGGGCACGGCCAGGGCCAGCCCATCCCACGGCCATGTCTCTGTCCCCACAGATGTTTGTGCGTCTCTTTGTGGACGAAAACCTGGACCGCATGGTGCCCATCTCCAAGCAGCCCAAGGAGAAGATCCAGGCCATCATTGAGTCGTGCAGCCGGCAGTTCCCCGAGTTCCAGGAGCGAGCCCGCAAGCGCATCCGCACGTACCTCAAGTCCTGCCGCCGCATGAAGAAGAACGGCATGGAGATGGTGAGTCCCTCTGCACCACCCCTGACCTCCTGCCACACTCCCAGGATGCCTGGGCCCCTTCACCCGGGGTCTTCCCAGGAGCCCTGGAAGCAAGTACCATCATCCCTGGTTTGCAAATGATGAGGGAACAGGGGCCTGGAAAGGTCATACAGCTCCATAGACTGAGGCGCTGGAGCCCAAACCCCACCCTGTGCCATCCACCCCTGGGGCAGGGTCTCCACACAAGCCCAGAACCTCCACGAGCCCTGTGCCAGCTCCATCCCCGATCTGCTTGCAGACCAGACCCACGCCACCCCACCTGACCTCGGCCATGGCAGAAAACATCCTGGCAGCTGCCTGTGAGAGCGAGACGAGAAAGGCAGCCAAGCGGATGCGCCTGGAGATCTACCAGTCCTCACAGGTACCTGCCGCCACAGCTGCAGCAGGGGCCACCCCCGGGCAGCCGGGGAGAGCAGTCTTCATACGGGTGTGGACTGAGGGAGCTGTGATGGGTGCAGTTGGGAGAGGGGCAGAGGGGGAACAGGAGGGCAAAGACAAGGAGAGGAGGTGGGTGGAGGTCAGATGTGTTCTCAGAGGTCCTCAGACCTCATGGAAGTGTGGACTTCATCCCAAGACTGGAGGGCACTGATCAAGTATACTCACAGGGAGATGAGCAGAGTTGGCGAAAGCCCCTGGGGCGAGACAGACGCAGTCTCACAGGTCAAACCACAGCACTGGGTCCCAGGAGTCCTGGGGCCGCAGCGTGTATCCACCTGGTGTTCGGGGATGGTAGTTGGGGATGATAGTTGGGCCTGGCTACCCCTGTCTCCCCAGCGCCACACTCTCCCCTCTGCAGGATGAGCCCATAGCCCTGGATAAGCAGCACTCGCGGGACTCCGCAGCCATCACCCACTCCACCTACTCACTGCCAGCCTCCTCCTACTCCCAGGACCCTGTGTACGCCAACGGCGGCCTCAACTACAGTTACCGTGGGTATGGGGCCTTGAGCAGCAACCTGCAGCCCCCTGCGTCCCTCCAAACAGGAAACCACAGTAATGGTGAGTCGCAGGAGGCCTGGCCTCTGGCTCCCTGGCCAGCACCCAGCTGGGTCTGCAGAGCACCCCGGGGCAGGGCAGAGGGCAGCAGAGGCCAGTGACGGAAAGGGGCTGCCTCACAGCCTGGGGAGCAGGAGTGGCGGCTCTGGCCCCCTCCCACTTCATCGTCTCAGCAGGTCCTTAGATGGGATGGTGAAGGAGGCGGCTTCAGCTGGTTAAAGCAAAAGCCTCCCCGCCACTTCTCATCGCCAGTGACGCTGGCTCCAACGCTTCCTGCCTTCACTACCAGCGCCTCTCACTGGTTCCGCTACCCCAGGGCCCCTGTGGGTTCCGAGTCCCAGCCAAGGGTCTGTTCTTGCCCTGAGTTGAATCTCCACAGCCCATCTCACCCATAGTGACGGAGGCTCAGTGAGGCATTGCTGGCCCGCGCTCACGGAGCCCACCTGGAGACACCCGGGGTGACAGCTGCACACCTGCCCCCTCACTCCACTCCTGTAGCCGCGTGATCCAGTCGGTGCTTTCCCGGTAACTTCCCGGGAGACTCTGCGGCAGATGCGGTGCAGACCACTGAGGAGACAGTCCCCGAAGAGACAGAGGCTTCCTCATGGAGTCGGGTGCTGCTGTGGGGAACCTCAGACCCCTTTCCTGTGAGGCAGCAGGGGAGGAGAGGGGGCAGCCTGATGGGTCACAGGACCTCCTGGGCCAGACACTTAGTTTTTGTTCTGTGTGCAGGAAGAGCCCCTGCTAGGTTTTAAGCACAAGAAGGGCCATGAGTTGGGCAGTCTGCCATTCTGTCTGCCCTTGTGGTAAGAAGGGTTGAATGTAGAGGGCAGGAGGCTGAAGCCACGTGCTTTGGGGGCTGTTCAGAGGCCGGGAAGTGAGGGGAAGAATTGAGTTGCCAAGTTGCAGCGTGAGTAGGTTAGAGCAAGGTGCCACCTGTAAGCCGGGGAACCCTGGTGCGCGGTCTTGGCTAAACGTGCCAGAGGATTCCTTAAGCCCCTGTCCCTGGCTGCAGGAGACCCCTCACTGTTCCTGGGCAGCAAGGGCGGGAGCTAGTCCCCACCCATGGCAGGAAGCCCAGACCGCCTCCACTCGCCTTGACCCCCACCCCCCAGAACGAGGAAGTATACGCAGGTCCCTGGAAGATTCCTGCCTGGGCTTAACACCTCATCCCTCCCTAATGCCTCTTAACCTAAAATAAGAGGCTGCCTGGCCCTAATCCCTGAAGCTAAGGCCAGAGTGGCCAGCACGGTGAGAGGTGGAGTGCTGTCCTAGGCGGGCTCCTTTCCTTCTGGGAAGAAAAACCATCCCACAGCCTTGCCCTCCCTACACATGGGGGTCTGGGACCCAGCAGGAGAGGTGAGGGTGGCCTGGGACCTGCTCCATCCTAGCAGCAGGCGATGGTGACAAGCCTCTACCTGGTGTCACCCAGCATGACCTGTCTCAGGGCTGCGGCTGCCAGGTTCCCAACCCGCCTAAGGGCCTCTCATGGTGGGGCTGAGACTGCTTCATGCCCCCCCTGTTCACACCTGCCCAAGAGGCAGCCAGAGGATGATCCCTCCAGGGAGGCAGCTGGCTCTGACCCTGTGCATTCTGGGGCCTCGGTCTCCCATCTGTGAATACCCTGGTTCCTTCATGGTGGGTGGGGAGGCCACTGAGGCAGAGATCTGGCCATTGACCTCCTCACCTGGGGCAGCCTCTGTCCTTGAGCACTAGTACCTCATTTGAAGAACACTGTTTAAATCCTCCAGCAGTTGAAGGAAGACGACAGGCAGCCACGTGGTTGCAGGGCCACCCAGCCCCACTGGCCTCCCCAGCCTCAGCCTTTCAAGTGATTGTTCAATCAGTTTGGTACCTCTGCCAGGCAGCCGTATTAATGGCTCAGAGCTCCTCACTTTGCTCATTATGTTATCATCTGGAGATGCAAATCAGCTTAGATAGAATCTGGTTCGGCCTGTCTTGCCTGGGGTGCCGGGTAACTCACGCTCACTCCTATCCCTTTACCCACTATCTGGCAGTCACTCAGCAACCTGAGCATCTGGCTGTAACCAGAGCCTGCATGTGGATGTCTCCAGATCAGATCGGCTGCAGGAAACAGGGACCTTCTCCTTTCAAAGCCTCAGCTACAGCCCAGGAGAGAAGGGAGGAAGCTCTGAGCACAGGCATAAACAGGATAGCACTTGGGGAGAAGAGGAGAAAAGAAAGGAACTGTGGCCACTGCTCATGTTGACTACGCCAGGAGGCTCTGGCCACTCCCAAGCATGATGCAGAGGGGACCAGCACCACCCTAGAGGGAACTAGATCCTAGTCCTCCCTGTCCCTCTGGGTCCAGCCCCTGTAATATCCAGAAGCCAGCATAGGTACTCCTACTCCCAGCTTCCCAGTCCCCTGTTGTGACACCTTAGGCATCAGTCACCTGCTTGGCTGCTGTTTCCAGACACAGCCCCAAGCCCTTCCTCCTGTGTTTAACAGACTTAACTGTTTCCTTAACTCTCAATTCCAAGGACACTGTTTAGAAAATGGTTCCTGGGACCTCCGCCTTGGTGTCCACAATCTGTGGTCAGAGAGGAAATAACCCCGTGTGACAAATTGACCCACCTTAGAATCCAACTTGCACCAGCTTCCTTTTAGCAGCAGTCAGGTTTCCATGATTTCTCCCAATATGTTACTTCCAGTCTGGATACCTCCGGTGACAAGAGCTTGTCCATCTCTCTTCATAGCAGCTAAAAACTGCCATGGAGGCTGGGTGCAGTGGCTCATGCCTGTAATCCCAGCACTTTGGGATGCCGAGGTAGGTGGATCACCCAAGGTCAGGAGTTCAAGACCAGCCTGACCAACATGGAGAAACCCCGTCTCTCCTAAAAATACAAAATCAGCTGGGAGTGCTGGTGCATGCCTGTAGTCCCAGCTACTCAGGAGGCTGAGGCAGGAGAATCGCTTGAACCTGGGAGGCAGAGGTGACAGTGAGCTGAGATCTTGCCATTGCACTCCAGCCTGAGCAAGAGACTGTCTCAAAAAATAAAAATAAAAATAAATAAAACAACGAAAAACTGCCCTCGAGATGCAATAATGAGCGAATGTGGCCATCAGAACCTACAGGGTAGGGGGCGGAGACTCACCCTCATGGAAGATAAAGCTGTGGGGAAGGGACTGCAGGGGAGGGCAGAGAACAGGGCAGCTAACCTGGCTGCATCAGCGAGGCCGCCCAGGGAGGCAGCGGCGCTGCACGCGCCCACCCAGATGCTCTCTTCCTTGGCTGTTTCTTGCTGAACATCTTGCAGATTGCTTTTCAAATTCCAGGAGCTTCCAGGTCTCCTGGGAGCCTGTTCAGAAAGCCCTGAAGCCTGTGTGGAAGCCCCTCCCTACTGGGCTAGTTGAGGCAGTCAGGTCTCCTGTGAGCTAAGCCTCCACACTGGAGCCCCAGCCTGTGCTGAGTGTTTCACAAGCAGCATCTCAGCTTCTGCTCACAGGAGCGGCTTGTTTTGGCAGATGAGGGCTCTGAGGCCCAGAGAAGTTGAAGAATTTGCCAGTGAAGAAGCAGAGCAGGACTTGCATCCATACTTGCCTGATTTCAAAGCCAGCAGTCCACTCCATGGAGCTTGGGAAAGGCCAAGAGAGGACAGGGCCTGGTGGTCCCCTCCCCAACACGCATTCCCCTAGTGCATTTCAGAAGATGGCTGGCTCCCTCTTTGCCACCATCATCCAAGGACAAAGGGCAGGCCGTTTCTCCAGATAACTGGTCTGGGTCTTACCACACCCCCTTGTATCCCAGCAGCATGAACCCCCCCACCTCACTCAGGCATAGGACTCCTCCCAGGAGGGGAGGATTTGAGGTGCTGAGGCTCAGCAGAAAGAGGCTTCACACACCCAGCCCCTTCCTCCATCCACTGGCAGCCGTGGTCCCTCTCTCCTGGGACTGCAGTTATGGGCTGGCCAGTCTGGCCTATACCTCTTCCCATAGACAGCCAGGGCAGCCAGCCTCTCTCCAGCTGGACGGCAGCCCCTTCCTCGTCTGGGCACAGGCAGGTGTTCTCCTGGCCTTTTGTGGCTCCTCTCCGAGCTCTTCCTGGGCTTTCCCCACACGTCTCTCAGGTGTGCTGGGCCCCTGCCCACCTGCAGAGTCTCCTGTACACCATCTCCCCTTCCAGCCTCGATGTCTGGGGTGGAGGAGAGCACACAGATTGGCGTTGCCCCCAGCTGTCCTGGTTGAGCGGGCAGGTGTTCTTGTAGCGCCTGTCCCACAGTTCCTCTGCAGGAGTATCTCCCACTTCCAAGCCCTGCTCACCACGCTGGGGAGAGGCAGGTCTCAGGAGTTTCTTTTCCCCAAGGCTGCCTCTTCCTCACCTAAAATCAGATCCTTGCAAGATCTCCCTGAGGATTCCCTAAAAACCCTGTCGCCCGCAGGCCCGTTCCAAGCACTAGGGATAGAGCCATCAGGGAGATGGACCAGAGCCATCGACTCCAGTGCCCAACTCACAGTGGGCACTAGGCCATGGGTTATGACAGCACCGAGAACGACACACCTCCCCGATGCCAGGCAGGGTGGCCGCTGCCTCCTCACCCTCCTCCCCTCTCCACAGGGCCCACAGACCTCAGCATGAAAGGCGGGGCCTCGACCACTTCCACCACCCCCACGCCCACCCCCTCCAGCACCAGCACCAGCAGGCCCGTGCCCACCGCTCAGCTCAGCCCCACAGAGATCAGCGCCGTGCGGCAGCTCATCGCGGGCTACCGGGAGTCTGCTGCCTTCCTGCTGCGCTCTGCAGACGAACTGGAAAACCTCATCCTACAGCAGAACTGACCCCACCGGACCTGGAGTGCACTGCCCTAGGGAAGGAGGCTGTCCCAGCCTGGACCCGGCTTCCTGCCTCGCCAGTTGGTACATTTTGTTTTTTGAAAGAGGTGGGATCCAAAAGAGCTGTTTCTAGCCACACTCCAAGCACCTGAGACTTTGGGCACAAGGACACTTTTTTTTTTTTTTTTTTTTGGAATCTCACCACACGGGTGCTCTGACCTGCTTGGAAGAGGCCAACGGGGCAGCTCTGGAATGGTTGGGGTCTCCCATGACAAGGCGCTGGGGCTACAGCTCTATTTAGAATCACCTTCGTGGACCCCGATGTTAGAATCCCACCCCCGGATAATTACCTTTCAAGTCTTAGGTGAGCAGAATTGCATATTTATTGAGAAAAACAAAGTGGACCCTTTCTTCCTCTCCCCTTAGTAATTTATTTTTCTGAAAATGGATTCTTTTGTGTTTGTACAGATTGCTAGTCTGTGTCTGTCTGATCAGAAGGATGTATCCCCATACCTGACATTCCATATCACTACACTGATGTGGGCTGGGGCCAATAGGGGCAGGGCGGGTGCCAGGCTGGCTGTTCCTCTGCGTGCCTGGCGCACCCTGGGGCCGCCACCCCTTGGCCAGGCCATCCTGTTGCAGATCCCAGTGCTGCCACAAGGATACTGCCAGGCACCTCCCTAGGCACCGCCAAGCAGGAAGACCTTACCCACACCCAAACCCATGGCAAAGCAAAACAAAAGAGGCACCCCCACCCCCTTCTACAGAAGCCCCAGTCCCATGGTCACCTGTATTCTACCTCACACTCCAGCGTGGGCTTTTTCCAGGATGTGCCCTGAGCCTGTTCTGAACAGCTGTCACCCCAGCTCCCCCACACAATATGTCTGCCTGGGAGGTAAGTCCAGACTGGGTGTCCAGGAGCTGGAACCTAGAGAGCGTCCTGTCCCTAACGAGCCACTGCAGTCCTCCCACCCTGGCCCCAGCTGCTTGGCAGGACGGAGTGCTGGGAGGTGGCAGCTGGGTGGCAGGGCCCTTCCCCTTAACACCCTGCTGCGCAGGAGCCAGGTCTGAACTTGTGTCCACAGGCCTGGGCCCCAGAACTCCTGCCAAGAGGGGCTGCTGCTTCAGGGCAGGCCCCAGCTGCCAGGCAGCTGTGAGCTCCAGGCCGGACTGCAGCTCCCATCCCCTTGCCCCGTGTTTGGAGTAAAGGGACCAATGGAAGTGGAGGAGCCACTTGGGTTCTCCTAAGACCAGCCCTTCTGGAGGGGCCAGTCCTGGAAGAAACCCATAATCCCTGGAGTGTGAAAAAGGGCAAAAAGAAAAAGCTGGCCTGGTTTCCTTCCTCCCTGATAGGCACTTCCTCTTGCTCAGTGCAATACCTACCAGTGCTGCTAAACCAGGGATTCACCCAGACCTCAGCAGGCCCCCAGGGCCCCTCCATGCAACACTCCGTAGCCATGACAGCAGCTCTCTGCTGCCCAGCCCCTGCCCAGAGCTGGCAGAAGCCCTCTGTTGCCTTTCCTCCCTCAGAGCAGAGAGGCCCCAGGGGAGCCAGGGCCGAGTGGATCCTAGGATGGCCACAGAGAGCCACTCGCTCCCAGAACAGGCACCCCTTCCCAAACCAGCTTTTCTGCAGCCAATTGCCTGTTGCAGCTGTGGCCACTGCCTCCCGGCACAGTGGCAGACTCCTCCCAAGGAGGGACGGGGAGGGGGCACCACTAAGGATGCCCCATCCTGCCTCAGGTCCAGACTCTGGAAGGTAGGGTGCCCACACCGTGCTTACTTCCAGCCCCTAGAGGTTGGGAGTGGTCCTATCTCTCAAGTGGCCTCCAACACCCCACCCAGCCACACCACCTCTGCCTTCCATCTGACCAATCCCAAGGCCTCTGGTCAGGGCCAGGACACCTGAGACTCACCCTTAGCACAGCACAAACTCCAGTGCCCAAGGCCTCTCCCACACTCCAGCCAGCCACACATCCAGTCCCACCTGTTCAGTACTGCTCCCCTCAACATTTGAATTTGTGTAAATATTTATTTTTGTGTGTGAACAATACTACAAAGTAATCAGTAGATCTTTTACAAAATGTTACCCCAGGCAATTTGTGAAAATCTTAATGTTAAAACCTGGCAGAGACAATCGCCACCCTAGAATTCCTGGTATCAGTTACTTAACATGCCACTTCTCCTCCCAGAGGCAGTACCCAAGCTAGACATGAACCGTTTGCATTTCTTGGCGGACAGGAGTGAGAAAAACTGGGGAAGGGGCTCCCTCCCACTTCCCACACAAGGATGAGATCTAAACATCAGCATAAGCTACAGTTTGAAGTCATGTTTTTCTGAGTTCAAGCTGTTGGAACTGACCACCCTCCAGCCTGCCTTAGTACTGCGGCAAGCGTGTAGGTTTCAATGTGTTTTCAAGAAAAAGGAAAGAATATTTCCATGGTAAAAGTCCACTGGGTCTCCCAGGGCCTCACCAGGACAAATGGAAACTACACCTAAAGCCCTGGAGATGGCAAGATCTGGAGGAAGTTTCTGCATGGAAACAGGATTCCATTTAGCTGGTTCAGTCAGGGGACTTGTTCTGTTTTGCTTTTGTTTTAAAAGATGCAGCTTCAACCCCTCCTCCCTACTCCTGACTTCAAGGGCACCAAAGAGCTGGTTCTGATGAACCAGGCTCGCTGCTGTGTCAACCCTCCCCGGAGGGACTGCCTTCTCCCAAAAGGAGCTCCCAAAGCCCTGTCCCACAGCCATTTAAAAAATCTTCTGAAGGGCCTCAGGACACAAAGTAATCATTTGGGATCGTAAGTTAAAAAGGAAGCGCAAAAGTAGGATATTCCGGTTCCAGAGTCTTTGCAGGGGGCTAAGCCCACGAGAAGGGTGGCATCAGAGAAGTGGGCATTGGTCTTAGTGGTGGATCATCAGGTAGACAAGTGACAGTGTGTGTAACCCATCTGAAATTCATTTTACCGTCACCACTCTTACAAAGGACAGTTTATTCCCAAGGACAGTGTTGACGGGGAGGGGGACAGGTAGGGAGTTAGGAGGGTTTTAGAGGATTTCAAACAGGTGGAACCCATCCATCCCTATTCCCAAGGGCCACTTACAACTCCAAGGGTGGTTACAGGATTAACTACCAGTTCATTTTCAAAATGCTGCTTTGAACTCAGAGGGTTGATACTTTTAATTTGTAATTTTTTGTAAAACTTTTTACAAAATAGTAAAGTATTTCACCAGAATACCAGTTTCAATCCGTCCATGGTCTGATTTTTATATAATTTAGTGGTGCTTTAGAAACTTTGTTTTTGTTGTTTCTGAGCTAAACAGCTCAATCCTTTTTCGCCTGTATCTACCTAAGACCAATGTGAACCTTTGTATTTTTGCTCCTAATTTTGGACTCAGTGAAAGTGTACTGTTTACATGTACAGATGCCCCCAGTCCCTGTGTGTTCTGCAAGACTCGCTCTTGAGGAGGAAGACGCACCTCACTAAGCTCATCTGCTTAGCAAAGCCACAAACAAAAACCTCTCACTTTTTACCTACGTTTCCACCTAAAAATACAACAAAAAACCTATACAACAAAAAACCACATAGAACTCAGATTGGCTGAAAAACACTTTCCACCTGGTAGATGGCCCATATGCCTCTATTATGTGGTCCATTTAGGAGCAGGAGTCAGAAGAGACCTCCTGTGGGCTGCTGGTGGGCAACTGCATGGACAGAGGAAAAGGGAAGGCAGGACTTTGCAGCAGAGCTGTGGGATGAGTGGAGTTCTTCCCTGGGCAGCCTGGGAGCGGGAAGGTCAGAATGACTTATGTGGCCTTCAGGATCAAGCCAACCAGGATTTAGGGACAACCCAAGAGTTCTTTAGTCCTCGGGCGTAATTGAGACATGTTTTGGAAGAGCATGAGTTCAAAATCTGAGATGAGATGTTAAGATTTTCAGTGCAGATAGTACAAGCCGTTTCTTCAGGGTTCCTCTGGGGGCAGCTCCTTCATGAGGTCCCACCTCCAGGGAGGGGCACAGGGCTCCAGATAGTAAGCACTTAAGGCAAACAGTGGATGGCACCAAGTTTGAAAGGTGACTCTTTATGAATCAATGGCTTCACCTCTAAATTATACTTTTACAGATATGCACCTATGCAACTTAACGTGGCTCTTCTAAGCAGGTGAGGACTTCCTCCTCAATGCTCTCTATAAAAATTATTTGTGTTCTATATAGTGAGTTTTACCAGTAAATGTGGCTTAATATTTTAATTCTTAGAATGTGTCTTCTCTACGTGATGCGACTAAATTCTGTTTTGTTTGTGGAATGACTAGCACAGGCCGTCTCCCTCTCCCCCTCACTTAACAAAAGACCAATGAGCTGTTAATCGAGCTGTTATCTCCATGGTATTACTTGCTAAATGCACTGATTTCATAAGTATGTGGAATCCTTTTCCTTTTGAATCTGTATATCATATATAAGACTGAATCTACTTAATAAATACTGAACAGCAAACCGAATGCTCTGCTTCCACTGTGTCCTATCGACAGCCGCACCGCCTGCCGCTTGTAGTGGCACCGAAACATCTTTCTACTGGTAGATTCCACCTTTTCCTAGCCAATAGTATAGCACACAGAAGGTCCTCGGTGCATTTTCCAGAACAAATAAACCTATAATTCCAGCATCTCATCTGTTAGAAAGGGAAGGCAGTGAACCTTTCGCAGGTGCCCATCAGTTGCTCAACACAGGCGGAGCTCGCATGCACCATTTTATCTTTCAGTTCCCTCACCCCCACGTGCACGTACACGTACACAGGCACACGGGGTATATATATGCCTTGCTGAAATCCAGTGACCAGCAACAAATCTGTAGCTTTTCCACGACCTCTCATCCTAGGACAAGGGCAACTGACTGAAACCAAATCCCCAGAACAATCCCTAAGTGCTAATTTGGAAAGCGGAGCAAACACGATCCCTGGTTCTGAATCTTTAGTGCTTAACATGCCATTCTATCAAAACCCTGGATTCCCACCTTGAAGGAAACAAAAGGGCTACTTTTCCCAAAGAGAATTACTTGTGATTTTTTTTCATCCCATGTATATGGTTTAGGTTAAGCCTTAAGGAAAAGTTTTAGGAATATGGCTGGGAACACAACTGGTCATCATGGATTTAAAAATAACTTTATGCATGTTAATTGCATACATTTTACTGCTAAAATTCCGTGTGCGTGTATATATATGTACACACATTTATGGCAGTTCTTAAAACCTCTATTTTTAAATAATGACACTCTGTCTCATAGAAATTCTGTGCAGTAGCCTAATATATAAAATAGAGAAGGGTGTGACAGAGGGGCTGAGACTCACAGACAGGAGAAGGTCCAGGCACAGCAGAAGACGGCCCTTGACGCCTCCCTTTGCCCATGGATGTGGGGAATCGGGGCAGCAAATCCTCAGTAACACGGAAATTCCTTGTCCTACCTAAAATGATCACCACTGAGACTGTTGAAACTATGACTATTAGAAACCCACAACCTGGGACAACAGCTCCAGATCAGCCCGCAAACACTTACCTCCTTCCACAGGAAATACTGCGGTTCCGAGGGAGCTCTGGGATTCCCAGGAGAAATCTGCCTGAGGGCAGAAAAGCGCTGGAGTCTGGCTTCTTTAAATGGGTCTCCACACCACTGTTAACAGTGGACAAAAGACTTCATCAAATGGGAACATCCCCTCAGAAAAGTGAACTAAAATGTACTCAATGACAAAACAGGCAAACCTCCCTTTACAAAAAACAGGAAAACATGCATATGCTATTTTTACAACTTAAAATGCACTAGGGAAGCTTAGTAGTTACGGGAAACCCAAGAATCCTTGCAAAATCCTATCTTCCCTTAACTGATCTTTTGTATAAACACATTTTATTAGGTTTATTCTCGACCAGTGGTTCTTAAATGAGGGGCCCCGGCTGCCTAAGGAGCCGGTAAATGCTGACAGTGTGCAAAACTTTGTGAGGCCAAGTGTGGTGGTGGGATCGCTTGAGGCCAGGAGTTCAAGACCAGTATGGACAACATAGCAAGAGCCTGTCTCTACAAAAAATTTTAATATTAGCTGGGAGTGGTGGCATGTGCCTGTAGTCTCAGCTACTTGGGAGGTTGCAGTGGGAGGATCACTTGAACTCAGAAGTTTGAAGCTACAGTGAGCTATGATCACGCCACTGCACTCCAGCCTGAAAAGAGGGAGACTCTAAAAACAAAAAAAAAAAACTTCGCATGTGCATTCCATGGGGGGGGGGGAAAGAGTTTCCAAAAACAGGTTAAAACCCACCCATATCAGGTAACACAGCACCGACAACTGTTGTACAGGGTGTTTGTCTACGTCTTGCGGTAGAGATGTTCATTCTAGGCTTTCAAATTGACCAGAGACAAGAGGAAGCATAAGGGTGTTATCCAATTTTGGAGCAATCTCCAAAGTTCCACATCCTGCCCCTTCATGGCTTCAGACAATACCCACACATGAGGGCAACACAGCCTGGGGCCCCTCCTCTTAGGTAGACAGGGCAGGCAGATGCTTTGGCATCAGGACCCCTGATGGACACAGGACAAATACCCACATCCCCCTCTCTCTAACACAGTCTTACAGCAGGCTGGATAGCAAACAAATGACACCTTGCCAGGTCAGTACCATTCTTCCTATATTCTGAAACATGATTTGCCTTGTCCTTTGGACCATGAGCAAAATAAGCCTTCCTTACCAAATATTCAGTCTCTAAACTTAGGATAACACTCAACTTTTGGTCAGGTCTGTGGCCCGGGACCAAAAATCAGGGTCCAAAGTGACTTCACAGCCTGCCACCACCCGTCAGCGCAGTGGGCACAAGGCCTGCATCCTGACAGCTCCCCTCTGGAGCAAGAGTGAAGTCGGTGGCAGTAGCTGTATAGATTCCTACCGTGAGTTCACATAACTACGACTGTCTTGGCCTGCTATGAACTAAGTCATTATTTCCTAGGTCGCCGGCACTAATAACCTCATGAAGTAGGAACTATTATACCTACTCACAGATGAGAGGTGGCAGCCAGGTTAAATAACATGGCCCAAAACCACAGAGCCGGTGTGTTGCAGAGGCTGTGCTCTAGGAAGTCACTGCATCATTCTGCCTCCCTGAGGAGATACAATAGGCCATGGAAGGTCCCAATCTGGGACTGTAATGATTCTGAGCTCCTGCAGATGTTAAGTGGCCAAATGGATTCTGTGACACAAGGACACATCACCACCACCAGGCAGTTGCCCAGTCACTACAGGGCCCCTGAGCCATCAACTCTCAAAACTGCATGTCTATCAAACAGCAGCACTACAAAGTGGCAGCTTCAACTGCCCAAGGGATATCCCACCACAAAGTTCTTCCTCCAATTCACAGGAAAAAATTATGAATATGTGTTTAAACTCCCATTTTTTCTGCTTTGGCTTATTTACATACTAATAAAATTATTTCTGATAAGCACAAAGTCAATGTATTGAAGTACTCCAGAGACGTCCGAGGACTTCTCAACCAAGGCGGCAATCCCCTGAAGCACGTGATCTACTCAGGCTCACTCAACTAGCATCAGACACCTCATCCTGGGCCAGCACCTTCCTCTCACTGCCACCAGAGGTCACAGAAAGAGGTGCTCATGGTTAAGGTTTTTTAAGTTCAGAGCTAGTCACCCTCCCACAGAAGACCACTGACCATTAGGAAGCCACTTGGCAATCTCAAACTCAGTGAGGCAATTTGGATGAGCTGCTGCAGAGGGATGTCACAGTTTCTGACTTTCACTCACAAAGGGGAAACCTTATTGCTCTCAGCAGATTGCTGACTGCAGTCTATGTGATGAAGTCTGGCAAGTCATGAACAGCTAAAGATCAGTGAAGCTGCCGAGTCATTCCTTTAGAACTAACCTCCCAAAAGAAGAGCTCCAAGCATAAGAACAGTAGCTCCAAGTATAAGAACAGTAGCTCCAGAGCCCAGGTGAGGAGAGCCGGTGTCTACTCCTTCCCCTCCAGCTCTGCACTCCAGCCTGACCTTCCCACACCAGCGAGGCAGCCACGGAAGATGACTGAGACCACAACTGTAGGTTGTACGGGTTTATTGTTTCAATACCACAACAGACATACAAAAGCAGTGCTTTCTCTGGGCAGCCCCATGGACCAGATCAGTGTCAAACTGTGTACCCTTGAGTGTCCCCAAAGGCTCCAGCAGAAGGAAGAGGACTGGATGTGCTTGGGCCCCTGTTCCCGGTCTTTGGTAAACAGACGCTTAAGTTGACAACTTGGACTTGGCCAATACTGCATTTTAAATCACATCATTGGCAACTTGTCACTCATGCTTCAGATGATGAAAACACATCAGATTAAATGAGAAAAAAAAAAAAAAAACTTTCAGATAAAATTAGACTTGAAGTCATAGAGATTTTATGCTTGACCTAAATTAAGCAAGGATCCTCAATTCTGTAATAAGTCAAAAATACAAGAACTAAGGCAGGGAACAAGGCAAGGGAAGACACATACGGGGCATCTACTTGCTAGGAACATGTTGGGAGAGAGGCAGGAGCAGGCATGGCTTTGTTTCTTCCCAAACCTGCCTGATGTCAAAAGTACGTCAAAAGGAGCCTCACGGTCCCAGGAGAGCATGGTCCCAGGTATTGCTGTGACAGGTGGTGACCCTGGAGCCAGATCTGGAAGGCCTTCCTGGGGGCTGCCCAGGGAACTCACCCATGAATCCAGAAGCACTTAACACTGGTGGTGGTGATTTGTCACATATGGCAGCGAGCAGCCATTAAAGGCTGTAGGAGGAGGAGAGGTGTGAGAAGCAAGATGCGTTTGCTCAGTGGCGTGTGGGCAGGCTGACTGTGGCTCTGCAGGCTGCAGCAGATCCACCCGGTGACCCGACCCGACAGGGCATCGGGCAACCTGGCAGGTCACAAGTCAAGTATTTCACCCTCACGTTGAGCAGCAGCACAGCACTCAGTGGCTCTGACAATAGGTGTAGAGAAGTAAATTACATCACTTTAATGCAATGATGCTGAAGATGTAAAATTAGGAAGAAACATTCATGTTCTCTGTACAATACATCCATTTACAGAATCGGCCAGTACTGTGTACAACATATAAATACATGATAAAACATTAGAGGTGCATAGAGCATACTTACAGAAGCCAAAAAGTTCACTTTATACATCCAAGAATAAAGAGTTAAAAATATAAAAATAAGAAACACACACTGCGCTTTGAAATGTAAAATGACTTTCACATACACAAGTGCGTGGAGATGCCCACTCCCATAGGGTCCAAAGTGACAGGGAAGATGTCAAGCAGAGGAATTCACCTGCAACCATCTGGACAGCTGACTCATCAGGTCTACAGATGGCATTTTCATAGGAAACACAACCCTATTCCCCGACCCCATTGTCCAAGAAGAGCTATTCAAGGTTCCAAATGATCCTGTGGGCTAGTGGATCGCACCAAGACAGAAAAGTTCCAAATTTGCTT